GTGTGTGTGTGTGTGTGTGTGTGTTTTAAATCAGAATGTGCAAAAAACTACAATCTACCATAAGTTGTAGTGCTTAAAATTTCTGAACCTTTTCTTCCTAATATCCAGTGTATATTTCCTGTTATTTTGACCAACAGGCTGACACTAAAACTGGGTCATCTGTCCAGTACCAATTTAGTTCTGGATATGACAAACTAAGGAAAATTTGCACAAGAACAGACACCTAGATAATTGCCTTCAACTGTTCTACACAGAAAAACTTCTTGACAGCGTTTAGCCCTACATTCTGCTTGTATCAATTTATTGTTCTGCTACAAAGATACCACTGTGTAATCAATTCTTCTGTGGTTCATCTTGTGTTAGCATCAATTGACGGTGGAGAGAGTTTAAACACTGTAATCTGGAATATCTGTTAAAACAGCTTGTTTTTGTTTTACAAGTGAATTGACCAGGAATTTAAAAACCAATATATATCACCACAAAAAGCTGGAGGGAGGGAGTAGAAGGGGTTATTTTCCTGATAGTTAACTTTATTAATAATCATTTATTTTCTGATTAGTAAGCCTGCTTTTGCACGCATGTAAGGCACTGCATAGAAACTGGAACAAGTGTATTTCTCTTTAATACAGTTCTATAGAATACACTGGCTGTTGTAGGAGTTAGGTCTCCAAACACCTGGTGATCCAGAATAACATTTAAAAGGATGCACCAGTGATATTTCACTTCTCTTTCCTCACCCCCTACTAGGTTCCTCCAAGGGACTGAAATGGAAGCTGCCTACATTTTTAAAGATAAACGAAGTACTGAAATATTCTCATGTATTCCTGTATTAGTGTTTGAGGATTTCTCCATGAAACTTGCCACAACTTTGACAGGAACTGCGAAAGTAATACATTTCAAGTTAACTATAAGGGTTTAGGTTCTCAAATATCCAAGTATTACAGATGAGCCTTTCAAATAGGGCAGGCATTTCCCACAGAAGAAAAAATATTTAAGTTCCCCTTCCTCCTTACTGTCTTTTCAAGTAGTTTTTCTGTGTTCAGTTGAAATTGTTGCCTTAATCCTTCAAGACCAAAGAAAATTTGGAAAAAAAGTGGATGGATATTAAAGAATGTGGTACTATAACAAAAGAAAGCAGTGAATGGTGCCAGCAATTTAGATGTACCCAGTCCCGACACTGGGAATATTAGACTTCCAAGCTGAAATAATTAGTTTCTCTTGTGGTTCAGGAAGAAGAAAGTGTTGCCTTTGGGATTATTCCTGCCTGTTACAAAGCAAGAAAGAAAATATATTATATGCTTCTGACACAGGATTTGAATTGTGCTGTTATTTGTGGTGTGAACAAGAGATTTTACCTTACGCTTTTCTCCACCTTAACTGGCTTTCTTAGTGAACCACATTATTCCCTGTCACCTGTGTTTTCTCATACTGTTGATTCCCAGGCAAACATTAGTACAGTCTTCCAGCTCTTCTGAAGATTGTTTTTGCAGTGGATGGCCATTGTTTGACAAACTGGAGGGAGTACATGAAGTACAGAAAGAATCGTTGTGGAAAGCTGCACTTGAACTTTCGGTCTGATTTGTTATTTGATCTTGGCATAGTAAGGTTTCTACTTCTTCATCCTTTAATGGAAAAACCCGAAGTTCCCACAGCTCAGACTGAAAGGAATCAAAGAATGGAAAAAAAGAAAAAGAAAAAAACCGTGATGAGTTTCAGTGGAGTCCTAGCTGATTAGCTATGTGCAGAATGATTCTGTTATCAAGTAACAAATGAGTGACATTCTTTACCCTGCTTGCAGGGTTCTCCAGATATGGGGAAGAATACCGCTGTGCTGGGTACCAGCTTTCAAATGTAGCCTGGCTTAATACAAAATGAAGTTGTGTTGTATAGAATCTTGTAACAAGTTTTATCCCAAAATGTTTCTCAGAGTTAATCAACACTATGTAGAGGGTGAGGAATGTAGAGAGGAATTCTGTTTTCCATAACACTAAACAATTAAGAACACATGTTGCCATGACAATCAGTATTATCAAGAAACCTTGCTGGTGTTCCCTGAGGAAAAGCTGCACAAAGGGAGCCTGCTAGTGTGTCACCTCTAGAGCTGTATTGGCCCATTAGCCTGTTCCTATTCTGTGGACTTCATTTGCAAACAGTAACTAACCACCTGGTATATTGAAGAAATACTAACTAAATGCAGGCTACAAAAGAGATACAGGCCAATACAGTTTAAGTTTAGACACAATCCAAGTTATTGGAAATTTGGAGGCAATGGATCAAACAGTTGTTAAAAACCACCCTACCTTTGCTTCTTGGTTTTCTGTTGAAGTTTGTGGGAGCGCTAAGCACACAGAACTGCGAGTTTCTGATATAAGCTCAGGGGTAGCTTCAGCAGAATAGTGCAGAGAAGCATAGGAGTTGCCATGGTTTTCTTTCTGTACTGGATCTTGTCCATGTCGTCCATCAGCATTTTTGCTATAAGATCTAGTAGAAAGCAAAATTAGAAAATAAGAGCGCTATGACCTAGTGCTCTTTCAAACAACAGGAAATAATTCACATTTTTTTTGGTGGGGAATCTTTTAACAGATTTTTAAGTGCTTTAAAGTAAAGAGAACCTGAAAACACATGGAGCCCACTTGCTAAACTGCACAAAGTCAAAGCAAATAGCTTTATCTATGAGAGTTAAATGCGTGGAAGGTGATGGGCCCTCATGCTCATGATGCAGGTCATCCAAGCAACAGTTATTAGAAGCTGTAGCTTATAAAACATGCTATCCACTCAGTGTATACATGTAATTTTGGATTGTAACAGAAGGTAATGCACCCCTAATTCAAGTTTTTCAACATGAACCACTGCATATTGTCATCTGTGAACCACAGAGTCCAAACTGAGCTGACAGCACACCCCAAAAATGGAAAAGAGCAGAAGGCATTCAAAGGAAGAATGGAAGTTACTCATTTGTAACTAGGATCCTTTGAGATAATTTCCATAACCCCTCTCTGCATGTACCAACAGTGCAGTTTGGATTCCTGATGGCTTGCAGCGCAGATACCTTGATCCTATGTGTGGGAATATGCAGTGTGTGAATAAAAACATTTAAACAAACAGAAACTTTAAACTAATCTCTAAAGCAAACTTGAACTTGGTGTAAAATCTTTTAGTACATGTTGTATGTTGGGAAGAAATCCAGACCCCACATGGTAAATCAATCATACAAATTTTATACAACAAAAACTTTGTATATTTATTCAATACTGTGAGATAGTTTTTTTTCTGATCATTAAATAATACTGCCTACAAATATATGGTAATAGCATTCCCTTTACATTTATAGAGTGCTTTACATTGTGAAAGATTCCAAAGGGACTAATTAGGAATAATTTAATACAAAGCTGAAATAAAACTACAGCTGCATGCTTGTATTTACACGTTTTTTCCTAAGAGCATATATTTTGTTTTTGTAAGATTGTTTAATTATTATAGACTTTTGCACTAGACAAAGTATTAAACTTTCTTCACACGCGTGACTGTTGAAAATTCAGAGTGCTCAAGCCACTTAGCAGAATTTGGTATTTGAAGCATCCCTCTGAATGCCATGAATGTGATATTCCTTTCCATTATTACACCTGACTTTTTCAGCTAAGTCAGCTGATTAAACGTGAGGTCATGTCTCACTCTCTACATCCATGATTACTGAGAGTGGCAGGGAACAGTGGCACAGGATAAATTCAATAAACTAATATTTTATTCACTGTATGCCCAAATGATCCAGTTCTTTAAGTTTCAGAACTCTAGAGGTTTCCATTTCTATCTCTATATTAAATATGCATGGTGCTGTCCCTAACAAATCACTTGATGGGTGGATGCCCTCATTTTCAAAGTTGCATCATGCTGATAGCATTTCTGAAACTTGTACTAACAACAAAATTGTAGTGATTCTGTAAGAATACTCCATTTAAGTGGATACACCTGCCTGCTATTCCTTCTAGGCCAGCGGCTCTGCTCCCACAATGACCATCTTGTTTTCTCTCTCTCTTCATACTGTGTGTGACGTGCAGTAAAAGCTTCATCTGAGAGGTCTTCCATCTGCAATTATAAGTACAGAATGGCTGCTATGATTATGAACATCACTGAAACTGAATACAATGGTTTTTATGCGTCATAACCCAATGATTTTTAGCGCCTCGGCACATTGGAATTTTCCCGCCACGGTGGATTTCTCAGCTGCAGAGAGAAATCCCCGGTGCAAAAGAGTTCCTGCCACACCCATGCAAATTCGTACCCCATTATTGGCTGATTCTAAATTATTCCTACGTGGTGGCTAGCAATTGGCTTGCTAGCCGTATAAAAGGTTAGAGCAGTTTCCGCCCAAGTTGGAAGACTCCACAACCATCTCGTGGGGAACTCTGAGCGCGCTGTGGAGCCTAGCAAACTCCGCATGTGTCTTGGAGGAGGACAGAGAGGCCTGATCGGCTCTTAGCCACTCCCCGTCATAGTGTGAATTTGACGTATCCGCCGTGTGAAGCGCTCGTGGAGTCGTATATCGACGACTCATCTCAGTTCGGTGCGGTTCGGAAGAGATCTCATTTGTGTTTGTTTGTGCGCAACTGCAACTCAAGCAAGTTTCCTTCCTGCACTGTGACCATCGGCAGTGTAAGTAAAGCTTTCTAAAACCAATACGCTGTCTCGCCTCTCCATCCACCAGCCCACCTGACGTTCGCTTAATTAACCAGCGTTTCCCTCGGTCGGCTCCACCCGGCCGAGACAATACAGTTCCGTGAAAATCTGTTTCAAAATCATAAGAAAGAAGTACTGAACATACGCTGAGGTATAAAAAGTAAAACTTATACATTCTGGTTAAAATACAATAAAAAGAACTAGTATGATGCTTCCACTTTTAAAATCACTATTTTCTACACTTTTGTGAGGATCTCAGTTGTATAAAAGGACTACTCTAAATTTAAAAATAAGAGGTTACTAGTTTGAATATCAAGTGAACAGTAGTACTGTGTCTATGGGTGCATATTAAAGGCTCTTTCAGAATATGATACTGAAGGAGCAAGCTGCACTTTACTGAAACATTTCTGTTGAGTAATGAAAATCGGCAGTTTTGTTTGCCTCTTGATTCCAGCCAAAACAACAGAACATTTGAAAGAGTGATGAATGTGAATCCATAGAACGGTACCATGGAAAAGAAAAGGAAGAATACGACTCAGTTGCAGTTGCTACAGATCCACATTGCAGACGTTGTGTTCTGTATTAATGGAGGTATTTTATAAAGTTGACAGATGAACATTAACCATGGCACCTAAGAACTTCAAGCAAAGTCACAAAAGCCTGTGCCCCTAGCTTCTCTCTCTTCACTGAAATAAAATCCAAAACTCAGGGCAGGGTGTAGATCAGCAGGGACAATGTCAAGAGAGAACTCTAGTTACTAAGAAGCAACTTTCATTTGTCAAAGAAATGCCTCTACAGAGCCGCATTCCACAGAACAGCAAGCAATGTCCATATGGAAAGGCAGGGAAATGTTTACCCTGAGAGATAATGAAAGACTGTTTTCATTTGCTATCCTTACAAATCTCAGTTACAGAAACATGGCAGAAACAATCAGAACAGCTGGCAGCACATCAAAAAGCCCTGAATTCTTTGGGCGCTGGCATATGGGCTCGCATGGATACCTATGATAGTTTTGCAAGAAACACTGTCTGCTGTTTGGATGTCTCACCCAACTCAGTAAGTAGCTATAAGACTGGAACCAGAGTAAACTCAATTGCCATGTGGGCCTAGATTTCACTCAGGCCTGTGGCTACTGTAGTTTGTACTAGGAAAGTGAATGGCCAAACAGACAGGTAGAATTGTATCAAAAAGGATATATGATAGCTTTGCAAGTAAAAGATTCAAAACCCGTGAACTAAGACTGGTATGAATGAATGCAATGAACTCTAAGTTAATGTTCCACAGAAGGGTGCATGAAAGAGATAAGCCCTTTCTGCAGGAGAGCAGGAAGCAGCAATACTTGCTGGGTACATTTTAAACACATGGTAATATAAGCATGACAACGAAAGGAGAACAAAAACATCTAAAATAAAATGGACTGGGCAAACCTGAGGCACCACATTCCTTCTACAAAACCAGGCAGAAAATAGTTTCCGCTTCACAGTATACAATTTCTTAGTAAGCCGTATGCAGGACTCACTCAGGATCTAATCTGAGGAAAGTAATAATTGCTCAAATGAGAACAAGATCTAATCTGCTGGTGAAGCCTCTGAATCCAAACACCAAATCTGCCCTGCACCGAGAACATATGACTTTCCCTTCTTTTGCAGAGCATAGCAAAATACGTTTGCTGCTTTGGCACGGCTGCCAATGGGAGTGTGCACACAAAGGAGCTATTCGTTGCCTTCCCCCAGACCGTAGGACCTTTCTCTTTATTGGTTCACTCTGGCATAGTTTAGGACAGTAGTGCTCCAATCTATTGTGTTTGTAAATGCCTCAAAAGTTGGTTCCAGCAGCTAGAGATCACTAAAAGAATGCTAAAGCCACATCTGTACATGCCAGCTGTATCCCCGCTTCAAATGGGAAAAGAGACTAGAAGGAGGGCTATTAAGAAGGAATTGCCACCTAGCTGGTTATATTAATTTTAAGGCTGCAGTGCCAAAGGAACTCTAATAGGAGAGAGGTTCAACTCCATAAATGTCAAGGAGCTGTAAAAGAATGTAATTTATTAACTGAATATAATATCCAAACTGAATGTATACAAACTCATTGGGGGGGGGGGGGGGGTCAGCCAGGAATAGGGAACACTCTGTTTACTAGGGTGCCCCTTGGGGTTACCAGAAATAATGGCCACAAACTGAAGGAGAATAGATTTAGATAGGACATAAGGAAGAAATTCTTTACGGTAAGGGTTGCCAAATATGGAATGGGCTTCCAAGGGAGGTGGTGCTTTCCCCTACCTTGGACATGTTCGGGAAGAGATTAGACAGGCATCTGGCTGGGGTTACTTAACTCCAGCGCTTTTTCCTGCCTGGAGCAGGGGGTTGGACCTGATAATCTACCAGGTCCCTTCCGACTCTAGAAATCTATTAAATCTATGAATCCAGTGTAAATTTAAGTGCATAATCTCAAGACTGGAAAAAAACAACTTACCTCAGTAGGTACTTGTCTAAACTTAATGTAAGCTCAAAAGTACATAATATTATCAGTGCTGCAATATGAGTAGCCCCCAAACTGATTAGCTCCTTCCCATCACGTTCAAGGCTCTTACGAGTTTCAGGGCCACTATTAGAAGCCTTGAAAATGAAGGGAGACAGCAGCCATGAAACTGAGGCTCCTAATGACAGCTCTTTGAAGAGCTACTTTC